GAGATTACAAATATAAAACACCAAGTTGATCTTCCCTTAAGGAAACAAAACAAACATTTTGACACAGAAACATTGCCTCTCTCTCCCTTAAGTACTGAATACTTCTGTGATCTTAATTCAGAGAATGACAGTTGACAGCATCCCCTCGCCCCACCCCACTTACAATTAGGGAAAGCAATACGATTTGGTACATAAAATAGCGCTGAAGGACAAACGTGTTAAAAGCAGCTAAGCATGAGAGTCTGTCTTAGAAAAATTGAGGACCATGTGTTGAATCATGAAAGATACAGCTGTCGGGACTAGTTGTCAAAATTGATGTTTTCTATCAGGATTCGTAATTATGGTAGAATTTAGACCATGGTATAGCATGGATATCAATAGTTCCCAAAAGGTAGGATGAATTTGTAGACAAATGAGACCAAAGGTACTTAGAGTATAGACTTTGCAAATTGTATGTCATGGGGCATCATGTCATGTTCAGTGTCAACTAGGATTAACATGTCTGTATCCTTGATTTGAGCATTGTGTACTGTCTGCATGCTTTGAAAAACCATACAGTACCTTACGGAGATGTACAGCAATTATAGGGAAGCCAGGGGTCACCATTTTTAACAGAAGCAAAACGTGTGTCATGGGGAATAGCTGTGTTCCAGGTCTGCATGACGGACGGTCCCCTTCGCAGGGAGACCCAGCTCAGATCTGGAGTGGCCCATCTCATCATTTTAAAACAAAATAGTCAAGGGCGTGACAAGGCCAACTGCCTTACTTGAAGAGGTCTGTCATTTATCAGTCAGAACCTTTAAAATCATGCCAAGAGTTCTCTCCCAAATGATAGTTAGATGATTCAGTGTGGGTGTTTCTGTGCTGCAAGGAACAGGTTTGACACGTTCCAGTTCTAAGGCAGCTTTTCTCAAGACAAAATATTGCTTAATTTTCCATTTTAATTTTTTTAGATACAGCATTTTAAATAAGCAAAACATTAACTGAATTCATGAAGATACATAGGAAAAGTTCTTAAAGGTGCCTGTTTTGATAGTCATGTTCTCTGCTGGCTTCCGGGGAGGTGATTTGCCTCACCATTATTTTTATTCAATTCCCTCCAAGCACCTGGAACTAAGCATAAAGCATACTTCAGCTAAAATGTGAAAAGTTGTAGTGAGAGCAATAATCTGTGTTAGGTTTCCTCAAATAGGTAAAATTGTTAATATTCACTCCTACAGCAACCTTGTCCATATTTATAGTAGCCAGACTTTTAAAACACTTAGATGTGATTGTAAAAGTTGGATATTGAAATCTGTCCCTCGTTAGGAAGTTTCGCCTGTTTTCATTGAAAACTGACATCTTCTGTGCGGTTTAGTTTTGCTATGCTTGCATCTCGCTCCATACTTATATCGGTGTCTCTCACTGATTACCCTAAAGGTCTGAACTCATAAAAGAAAAAGCAAGTTTCTGCTTATACGAATTCAGTGATTGGATTTCATTGACCCTAATGAATGGCAATAACCAAATGAAAAAGTCTACAGAAATCAGGCCAGCTAGATGGTGTAGTGGTTAGCGTAGCTGGATCCCACCATGACTGCGTGGTTCGAGTTCCAACCTGGGTGCTTAAAAAACACAGGCTGGGCACATGGGCACATGTATGTGCGTGCCCAAAATCCTGAGAGGAGAGTGAGGAGAAGGGATTGTGGCAAGATCATGCCCTTCAGGGGGTTGCCTTCTCACTTTCTCTCTCTCTCTCTCTCTCTCTCTCTCTCTCTCTGTCTCTCTGGTGAGCACATGTGCCCTATAGCAACTTAAAAAAAAATCTGTTGAAATGAGACTATAATTAATAGTGGGATACATGCTGTAAACTGTGCTCCTTTCTGCTGATGTTGTTTTTATTTTATCAAGAGTTTAATCATCTGTTTTACTTGTTCTCAATCTTTAATATAGACATAAGAAATACTTTTAAAAGAGTGGATTCCTTCAGTACCACCTCCAAGAACTGATTCAGCAGGTCTGGAGGGAGGCATAGGAATCCATATACATGCGCACACACACACACACACACACACACACACACACACACACATAAATTTTTTTTGTGTGAGAGATTTTTGCCATAGGGTGCACTTGCTCGCCAGAGAGACAGACGAAGAGAGAGAAAGTGAGAAATCACCTCCCAGGGAGGATGACCATGTTGCAAGCCCCTCTCTTCCACTCTCTTCTCAGGATTTTGGACATGCATGCACACATGCCCGGTTTGTTTCAAGCCAACAGTCTGGGACCCAAACCACAGTTGGCCATGTGGGAGTCCAGCGTCCCAACCGCTATGCCACCTGTCGGCCTTCAGAATCTGCATTTTTAATAAGTACCACTGCTTACTTAAATATTATGGTCTATAAATAATGTTTTTTCAAAGCATGGTCTCTCTTGTCTTCATAGTTATCTTACTTAAAGGTTCAAATATAAGTGAGAAAAGAAGCCCACTAAATTTCACATGATAGCTTTATTTATTTTTATTTTAATATAAAACATTCCTATTTTAACCTTATCCCTAAAATCTCTCATGGACAGGAAGGACAAGAAGATTTGGAGGAAAGTAATAAATATAAAATGACCTAGTCATGGACCATTTTAGCCCCATCCTGGCCAGTGCGACTAGGGGATGGTGTGTGAAAACTTCCTATTTCTGAGATGTACACAATGCTTTGTCTCCATGATAATGTTCCATCCCAGGCATTCTGGAATCTAGAGGAAGATGTGGGATAGGGAGGAGCATGGGATTGAAAGGGATGGAGTGGGGCGGGGTGGGGGGGAATATTTCAGGTTTGCCAGTAACTGATGAAGATATGAAAATGCATTGGATTTTGAGCTAGAGACACTATTTGAAGGTGCATTTTCTTGCAAATGTAGAAAAAAGTGAAAACTTGAGGGACTGGAGAGAAGTCACAGGGCTATAAGAGGAACTTCCTGAGTAGTCAGAGTGGAGAGTTTGCAGCTGGAGTGCTCATCCTCACAGTAGCTTTGTAACAAGGCTTGTTCAGCCTTGGTTAACAGATGAGGAGGCTGGCTCACAGATGGCAGAGGCATGGTTTAAAGGAGTCCCGAGTCCCGAGGCTCCTAAGCCTTTGCTCTTTCTGTTAGTTTGCATCTGTGTTTTACTTTAATCAGTCTAATAACCTCTAATTAAGTTAGGGTAAAGATCTTTATCCATGTTGTGTTAGTGAGGCAGAGGGGTCCATAACTCTACTTTGCAAATGTGATAAAGAATAATACGTTAAGAGTGTATGTTTCTCTGTGAATGAATGCATGGATAAGCAAAATGCGGGATCTCCACAAGTTAGAAAGATTTGGCCATAATAAAATGCAGTACTGACTCATGCGCCACCATGTATGAACCTTGAAAATACTGTGCTTAGCGAAAGAGACCAGGTATAAAAGGCTACACTGTATTGGATCCCATTGTGTGGAATGTCCAGCAGAGGCAAGTTTACAGAAACAGAGTAGATTACTGGCTGCCAGAAGCTGGGGGAAGGCGTGTCCGGGGAGTGACTGCTAATGGGTATGGGTTTCTTGGGAGGGTGGTAAGAATGCTTGGGAATTGTTAGTGGTGATGGTTGCACAGCCCTGGAAGTATAGTTAAAACCACTGAATTGTCCACCTCACACGTGTGAATTGTATGGTATCTAAATGTAGAATTTATTTTTATATATACAGAGAGTGAGAGACATGTTTTGGATTCAAAACAGGTTGGGATCCAGCTCTGTCTAAACCACATTCTAGTTCTGTGGCTATAGACAGGGTATTCAGACTCTCGAAGCCTATTTCTACAACAGAAATGATAGTGTAAGTCTTAAATTGTTGTGAGTATGCAGCTAATCAATGCATGTCTTCGATATTAGTAATTACCTCTAGAGAAAAGGCTATGTGAAGCTACTTTAGAAATCAGCTTGGGTTGAATGATGGGAATTACTGACTGGAATCATTTGTCCAGGTATCATTGAGCTCTCTGTTTCCTCAGGTGCAGAGTAGGATGACACTGGGTTGGCAGTGCCCATGTGGGGCCTTAAACCTAAAACTCAATTTCCGTCTTATCCTGGTTCTTTTTAGGAGTTATCGTCAATAATGAAGAATTCCCGTTCAGAATATTTTGAATACTTCCAAAATTTCAATTTAGGGAGAAATTTAGGAAGGTTATTTGCTACCAAACATTATAAAATCAAAGCTTTTTCTTCCTTTTTTTTTTCCAGATTTGCTAGAGGGCATGTGCATTTGGCAGAGAAAGACAGAGAGAGAGAGAAAGAGAGAGAGAGAGAGAAAGAGAGAGAGAGAGAGAGAGAGAAAGTGAGAAAACACACTCCAGGGGGGATGGCCATGCCACAGTCCCTTCTCCATTGTTCTCTTGGGATTTGGGGCATGCATGCACATATACCTGGTCTATTTTCTAAACTTCTGGGTCCAGTCCTCGAACCTACAGTTGGCCATGTGAAATCTAGCTGCCTTAACCACCATCCACGGGCTGGCCCTCAATATATATTTTCAATGGTTATTTTTGCATGTAACCAAATATTCATGGATAACAAAGATCATTTTAAAGGTATTTGAAACATTTTTAAAAGAATCTGTAACTTGTATTGTTCAGTACTAAAAATGTTGTTTATTATGGTCCTATAGTGCTAGCATTTAGGTGAACCTTTTAAAGATATACGCTTAGATGGCAAATTTACCATATGAGAAACAGTTTTACAAAGTGAAGTTTTCACTTCAAGATGTAAACTTTTTCCCCAAATCAAGAGGGAAAAAAATGCATTCTTAAAACTCATTATATGCATGGCTCACATATGAATTGCCTCATCTTCCCTTGAAATATGGAGATGCGTAAGTACTGCTAGAGGAAAACAGTTTCTCCACCCAATCTAATTAGTAGATGAAAACTCAAAGCTCCATTGATGCTGTGATAAGTAATTTTTAAATTTAGCAGACTGTCTTATTAATTACTGTTTCCTTTTATCTTGCAGCGTGGGGAAGAGCAGCTGCCGCCATGCTCTTCTGTGGCTTTATCATCCTGGTAATCTGTTTCATTCTGTCCTTCTGTGCCCTCTGTGGACCCCAAATGCTTGTTTTCCTAAGAGTGATTGGAGGCCTCCTTGCTCTGGCTGGTAAGACTTTGTGTCAGCAATGGGTCATTCATACTATCAGTGGGCATCATTGGAGTCCTATCCACCACAAAGACCCCTGCAATTACACTTTCTGATCTGTTCTTGCAAATGTGTAACCAACAGCAGAAACAATAGAGAAAACATTTATTTTAAAATCTAGGCCCCTTTCTCTGTGTATCAGAGTCGTATGCTCCCCAGTCAAGCACCAGAGGTTGGACAGTCAGCATGGCCCATCTCTCTTTGGTGGCCCATCCTTTGACATCCCTGCTATCTGAGGGACTGGGCTCAGTTCAGCCCTGGAGCAGTGTTCTTCCTAGTGGTCCCCAGTCCTGGCTTCCTTTGAGCCCCGTGCTGACCGGACTGACTGCTCCTGAATTATTTCACCTGCTGAAAGAGTTTTATGATCTCACCACATGGTAGATCATGAAGGCTTTTCTGCCATCAGGTGATAACTCCAGAAGAGGCAGGTCTGGAATCCACAGTGTAGACCTGTACCGGGGGCAATGATCCAGACATAGGAAGTGCGAAGAAATTGAGTTAGGCAGGCGAGCAGGACTCAGAGTGATCGCTGATTAAAGGAATACAAGAACTAGGAAGTGAGGGCCGAGAATTACTTGAAATTTCAGGCAGGGACTTGGCACTAGGGAAGTCTGTCAGAGGGATGGTGCTCCAGCTACAGAGCTGGATTCAGGTGCAAAACTGGATTTTGTGATGAACGGCAAGGGAAGGGGCTGATAAAGGCAGAGTGGTTTCCCAAGACACTACTTAAGACGCAAGGGATCAGAGCTGAACTCCTGCTACAGAGCTGGGGTTACAGACCCAAAGTGAGTGGATGGTCTTGGAAACGGGGTAGAAACCTGGTGACTGGAGGGATCTCTCTGTAAGAACAGACGTGTGCCAGGAGGAACACCACGTTGTGCTGGGTCCCCTGAGCTTAGTGAGGTCACGTTCGCACAGCCTGAGATGGCACAAGGGGAGGATGGCGGGACCCCGGCCGAGAGGAAAGAGCGAGCTCCGAAGACCGGGCTGTGCAGGCATAGCCTGGCCTTCTCTGCACATGTTCAAATTGCACTTGGTTGAAAGTCAAGTTTACTCCGTCTTCCCATGTTTCAAAGTTGGCTTTTGAATGATATTTTAAAATAATTTACGTGTCAGAATCACATAAAATAGGAAGAGCCTTGTTGAATCTCACCTCTTCTTTTGTTTTTTGGGGGGATGTTCACATTTCTTAAGTCCTTATCAAAGTAAAGCATTTGATACCTTTTCCTTGAACATCTTAGAAGACTAGATGGAGGTCTGTTTAAATCGTCATTAGAGGTAGAACGCTAGGACGCTATATTGGTTGAAAAATCCTAGCAAATATTGCATGACCCTGCAACACCACTCCTGGGTATGTATCCGGAAGAATTAGAAGCAGGAACCTGAACAGAGACTTGTAAATTGTGTTTGTAACATTATTCACAGCAGTCAAAAGCTGGAAACAATAATGTGTCTATTGACAAAGGAATGGTTCGCACAGCCATAAAAAGAAATGAAACGTTGACAGATGCCACAACACTATGGCCCTTGCCAACATGATGCTATGTGAGACGAGTTAGACACAGGAGGACAAACACTATATCTCTCCTTTTATATAAAGTACCTAGAACAGGCAGATTCACAGACCCACGAAGTCACACAGAGGTTACCAGGGGCTGAAGTTTTATTAGTTCATTTAGTCATTTACTTATTGAACGATTATTCCAATGATTGTATTGGGTCATAGGAAATTTTTCTATACAAAAATGTGTCATGACTTTATCAACAACCCAATATTATTGAATATCAATGTTGAGTCATCTGAGGGCATCTTTTAAAAACTCATGGGAAATGGGTATTATGAAAAACTACACATGGATTTCATGTTGAAAGAATTATTTATTTAATTTTATTTAAGGGCATGAGCAATCACTAGAGAGAGAGAAAGTGAGAAAGCAAGCTACCAAGACTGGGACTTGAACTGTGATCAGCCATGCAAGAGTCTAGTGCCTTAACCACCACGCCACCTGCTGACCCTGGATTTCTTTATTTTTTCTTTTTATTTTTTTTGCACCATAATAAACTCGTACTTTAGTTCCCTCTTTACACAAACTTTCTGAAGTTCCCCACATATATTTATGTGTGCCCATACACCTGTATGTATATGTACATGTGAATATACATAATTTTTGCTAATATTGAATATATTAACTCAGTTGTCACCAGGATACCCTTCTTCATCATCCTGCTTTCTGTCGTAGAGCACAATTTTGTACTTTTTACTATAGAATGTATAATGCTGATGCAAGTAATGTAAGCTGCTTCTTTTATTTTACGTGTTCTGTATATTTGTATGATACTCTTCAGTGCTAGGTATCTTTTTTTTGGAGAGTTTTTTTTTTTTTTTTTTTTTGCTATAGGGTACGTGTGCTCGCCAGAAAGACAGAGAGACACAGAGAGATGGAAAGTGAGAAATCACCCCCTGGGGGGGATGGCCATGCCACAATCCCTTCTCCTCCATTCTCCTCTCAGGATCTTGGGCACGCACGCACACGCGCCTGGTGCGAGTTTAGGCCACTGGGTCCGGGACTTGAACTGTGGCCAGCTACATGGGAGTTCAGTGACATAGTCATTACGCTAACTGCTGGTCCCAATGCTAGGTATCTTTTACACACAATAGTCAGTAGTTTTTTTTTGGCTCATGATTAACTAGGTTTTCATAACCTCTTTAGCATTTTTTAAGTTTTTTTTTAAAGTTTTTGCCATAGGATGCATGTGCTTGCCAGAGAGAGACAGAGAGAAAGAAAGCAAAAAATCACCTCACAGGATGGATAGCCATGCCACACTCCCTCCTCTTTAATTCTTTTCTCAGGATTTTGGGCACCCACACACATGCACCTGGTGTGATTTTCTTTTCTTTTCTTTCTTTCTTTTTTTTTTTTTTTTTTGGGAGGTTTTGCCTTGGGGGAGACGTGTTGTTGGGATTAAGAGACAGACAGACAGTGAGAGGGAAAGTGAGTAACCATCCCCTCCCCACCCCAGAGAGGATGGCCATGCTGCAATCCCCTCTCCTCCATCTTCCTCCCCGATCCTGGGCATGCATGCACACGTGCCTGGTGTGATTCTCAATCCACTGGATCCAGAACCCAACTGCAGTAGGCCATGTAGGAGTCCAGCAATGCAACCCCTACGCCATTCACTGACCCTGTCCCAGAATGATTTCAAAGTCGCTGCTCTGGGTCCCAGGATGGCCATGTGGGAGTCCAGCAACACAACCTCTATGCCATTCACTGGCCCCAGCCCAGAATGATTTCCAAGTTGCTGATCTGGGTCCCAGGAAGGCCATGTGGGAGTACAACACCTTAACCACCACACTACCTGCTGGTCTCTTTTTAAGAGGGATTTAACATTTACTTTGTGAAAGAGGGAGTTAATGTATCATTCACTTACTCATTCAGACTCCGGAACTTTTTCTCTCTTCAGCTGTGTTCCAGATCATCTCCCTGGTCATTTACCCTGTGAAGTACACTCAGACCTTCGACCTTCATGCCAACCCTGCTGTCACTTACATCTATAACTGGGCCTATGGCTTTGGGTGGGCGGCCACGATCATCCTGATTGGCTGTGCCTTCTTCTTCTGCTGCCTCCCGAACTACGAGGATGACCTCCTGGGGAATGCCAAGCCCAGGTACTTCTACACGTCCGCCTGAGGTGGCCAGTGAGCCGGGAAAGCCTCCGCTGTCGAGATGGATCCCAGAGGAAGAAACTGTGTTCCGACTACTTGGAACCTCTTTTCTTGGGCAGCGTTCATGTTATTAAGCTAGTCGAAATTGTTAAAATAATTTGGGAGAAAATATTTCTTAAATAGTGTTATGGTTTCATATTCATCTTTTATATATGTGTTGTGGAATTAAACAAGACTTGTTTCTTTTCACTAATGATGTATAACATGCCAACATTTCCTTATATTGTCTATGACATGAATACTACATTGATAAAGAATATGTATATGAAACGCACCACCTTAGAAGGGAAAAATGAGTCGGCTTCCAAGATTCACTATTCCGGGTAGGTGTTGTTTTTTCCTGATAGAGTGGATGCGTTCTATTAAGGTCTAAGGAGAAGCAGAGATACTGGTGAAAATTGTCAGTGACCAAACAGTCTAAAAGAAATGCAAAATGTCAATATGTTTTTAAGACTTCAGCCATTTGAATTAGCAAAATAGTTTCCTAAGTGCATACCATTTATGACCATTTCTCATTAATATCCTGCATAACTGATCTTTTTGTAAGCCGTATGTTGACTTTGTGTGTCATCTACGAAAGGATTTTTTTTTTCCCCCTGTGGCCAAATGTCTGTTGCCACACTAAGGCCTCCTTAAGTAGTGAAATGTTAAGATGAAATTTTCTCTTTTAAAGTGGTTCGTAGGGTTAGGGTGTGGGAAAATGCTACATTACTAAATCTGTACCGTCTTGTGCCTGTATTTTCAGAAGCAGACACAGCTACAGCTTCTGATAGTGTGCAACTTAAGCAGAACACTACATGTAGTTAAAAACCTGGTCTTCCTTAATGTGCCGATGTAAACCGTCTGGCATAGAACATTCAACAGGAGAATTCAAGGATGTGAGTTTCTCTGAGTGGCATACATATGATATATCAGATGAGGTTTTTTCTTTTTTAACCATTTGTACTTACATAATGAAAACCAACTCATTTTTATATCAAATCATTATTTTGTAAGTTGCAGAAAAGCAACTGCAGTTTTCATTATGAATTTTCTCCAATAAACCAGGTATTCAAATCTCTTGTCTACTTTGTAATTGTTTGTATATGTAAGTTGTTTCTTTTTCAAATCTGGGGAAGAACATTGGATAAAACACAATGTTGCTTTTTCTCACTGTTAAGGATCTTGTTCATTTAAGGTGTCCAGTGACACTTTTTGAATGATCGGGAATGAATTCTAGTGGTTTACTGAGCTTTTTTTCCCCTGGGCAATACCCCATTCACAGATATCAAACCGTGTCTATCCAAGGTTACCACCAGATGGAAATGGGCTGAGAATTTCTGGTGGGTTCAGACACCCAAGAAACGTTAGCGTGGTATAACTGAATGCTCGTCCCTCCCTCGTCTTCTATTCCCAGGTTCCTCTTTTTGATGGGCTCCCCTTCCATTCTTTTCTTTCTTTTTTTTTTGAGAGGTTTTTGCTATAAGGCACATGCACTCACCAGAAAGACAGAGAGAGACAGAAAGACAGGAAGTGAGAAATCGCCCCCCAGGGAGGATAGCCACGCTGTAATCCCTTCTTCTCCATTCTCTTCTCGGGATCTTGGGCACGCACACATACACACCCCTGGCATGAGTTTAAGCCATGGGGTCTGGGACATGAACTGCAGTCGACAACATGGGAGTCCAGGGACATAGCCATTACGCCAACTGCTGGTCCTGCCTTCCATTCTTGCAACAGGTGTAGTTATCTATTACTTTCCCCCATCCACCCTCCAATTTAATAGTTTTTTTCTACCATTGGTCCTGGGTTAATTCACTATGAAGCATTGCAGAGTGGAAGGTTGGAAGATGGAGCCATTTCTCTGCAGTACTTCTATTGACCAGTTGGTCCTTGGTAGCAAATTTTCCTTTATGTCTTTCAAAATATGAAGTGAATGTTTCTTGTCATAAATTCAGAAGAATGTAGCCTGGGTGGTTATTTATTCAAAAATGTCTTTACAATCCACCTATTACGTGACTAGTAGAGAATTTGATAATGTTGAAAATAACATTTTCTAAATAATAGCATAGCTAATTCCAGAAGATAATAGACACCCAGAGATTAAGTTTGGTCTCCTATTATATGTGAGAAAGACCCAGATTGCAAACTTATCTGAAACATACACTTTTGTCTTTGATTTTTTTCCATCCCACATTCTTCCTCTCAATCAATTACACAGGCTACACCTTAGTGGTACACATGTAGGAAAAAACAAGCTGATTAACAAGCATTTCAGCCTGATATATATGTGTGAGGGTGATACATTCCTTACTTTGACATTTTCCTCTTATTTTGGCTTTGGTCAAGCACTGAGATCGTCCACTGCTTCTTCGTTCAGATTCATCAGGACAGATACCTCTATGTCATAACCGTGAAAATTCCAGAGCATTCTGGAAAGCAATGAATTTGACTGAGAAGCCACTGTAGACTAACAATGCTCTTCATGCTCTTTCCCATGGTCAAACTGAGGTGCTTCTGGATTCTGTAATTAAGAGTCCCACCCTTTAAATGAGCAATTCTATGTTCCTCAACAATGATCTCACCCTCATACTCCAGCCAGACACACTAAGTGTCACTTGCTGCTGACTGTAACAAAGAGGTGATAGTGAAGGGCTTTCGGTTGTCACACATGTTAGCTGTAGGGCATAATTACTTTTAGCTTCAAAATCAGTGTTGGAGAACTAACAATAAAGTTCAATAGGCTTTCCTTTTTTAAGAAAACAAAAACAATGGGAGTCCTGATATCTTAATGAGGTTGGTTTTCCTTACAGACTCATTCCTATTAACATTACAAATGTGAATGCTTGTGTTGTTCTCCCAGGAAT